TCCCCAAACATGTGCAATTCATTTAAGTTGGTTACTTGCTTAAATGTTTTATTTTTTTTTTTTGGTCAAATTTAGTCCTCAGAGAATTTATTTATTTTTGTATGTTTGTCTTCTGCTTTGTCTCACTTTGTTGTCTTGAGTAAGTTTTCAGTTAAGTCCAACTTGCATATCCAAATTTATGCTTGGTTAATATTCACTAAAATAATCATGTGTTCATTAGGGGTGTAATAATGCATTGATGCATTATAATCAATCTAAATACTCAATGTTGAATGTTATAATGACTATAATTTTCCCTGAATTATTTATTCATTTTTTATCCATATCAATTTAATTCCTGACCTATATTCAGTTGTAAAATAATTGTGAAACTTAATGACGATGAATTAAACCAGACTGATGCGTCGTGGTACTCTCATGAACGCGCATTGAAGACTGACAAGGAAGAGAAGAAATTGTTGAATAAAAGTCCTTATTTTTGTTTGTTTTTTTGCACACAGAAAGTATTCTTGTAGCTTCATAACATTACGGTTGAACCACTGATGTCACATTGACTATTTTAACGATGTCTTTACTACCTTACTGGGCCTTGAACATGGTAGTTACATTGCTGTCTATGCAGGGTCAGAAAGCTCTCGGATTTCATCAAAAATATCTTAATTTGTGTTCCAAAGATGAACAAATGTCTTACGGGTTTGGAACAACATGAGGGTGAGTGATTAATGACAGAATTTTCTTTTTTGGGTGAAATATCCCTTTAAAACTTGGTCTAGTGCGAACCAGACAAAAACAAATGATTGGAGACTAATCTGTCTTGTGCGTTTAGCTGTGTATTTTGTTACAGGAATAATGGCTTTGGGCTTTGTGTTTCCCCTTTATATCATGATGTGTTATGACAGTTTTTTTGTGATAGGTCTATGTTTTGGGAACACTGAGAGGCTTTGTGTGCTGAACTGCCTTAGTTTTATAAATAGGTTTCTCATCAGAAGTTAAACGGTTTTGCTTGAAGGTATTTGCTATGGGGAGTGTAGCAGGATGTATTGAAACCACTTTGCACATGTATTTTCACACTGGTGCACTGGGCAGAAGAGCTCACATTATCCCTTTGTACAGATGGGTAATTGCTAAATTATTTCAGGTTAGGTATTTTGCTCAAGGTTAAAAACATGTTTCTCCCTTGCTCTATCTGATCTTCAAGTCCTCAGACCATAAGCACCGTTCCCTTGCTTCCTGTCTAAGTTTCAGCTTGCCTTCAAGGAGGATTGTATTATCACAATGAACCTGCGATGCATGTGACCCTAGGCTGGGTTGCAGCACAGTCTTTGCCTCAGGTGGTGTGCCTGTGGGTTTACAAGGTACCAAAATGCAAAAAAAAATACACTTTAGGCCTAGTGATTCTTGGCTGGAGTAAGCTACAGTGTGGTGAAAAGGTATTTGGATTTCTTCTTTGGTTTGCTTTTTGTCACTAAATGGTTTCAATTGTTCTGGGAATGAGTCTCAGTGTCCCAAAATATAGTCAAAAGACTCAAAACTGAGAATATCCAACCATCTGTGCGTCACCTGATGGTAAAGTTTAATTGGGTGTTGCAGGAGGACAATTATCCAAAACACAGAATCCAGATCACATCTGAATGGCTAAAAATAATCGGTTTTAACGTCTTAAAGTTGCCCAGGCAAAGTCCTGACTTGAATCCATTGGAAAGGATGTGATAAGGACCTAAAAACATTTTACCATTTTGCTCTTTAGAAATGCCCTTAACCCCGGAGTGCTTCAGGGATGGTTGTTCCTTCAGTTATTGAACTGTATAGTTTGATTTGGTTTAAATAAAAATTATCTGCTTGTAAAATATTGTAAACGAATGACAGTCTGGAAATTGTATGTTTTATAATATGCAGAGGGGAAGTATGTAATGTGTTCAACAGATAGGCTACATGCCGGAGTAGTGAAAACAATTTTGACTTTCATTGACTATTGGAACAAAACATTTCAAACACTGCTGAATAAAACCAATGTATTAAGCAAATTCAAGCCTTTGTTCTTAAAAAGGTGCCTTGCTGACCCACACTTTCTGACCACTATATTTCCTTGATTGTTTCAGTTGTTTGGAAAGTTTCTTTAAAAAAAATAATTTTAGAGAGGGTACTCACAGAGAGTCAAAGCAAAAGATTCAGAACTAGAAAAATAATTAATAGAAAAATATCTATCTATTATATATATATATATATATATATATATATATATATGATTTTTATTTATTTATTTTTATTATTATTGAGCTAGAATGGACATTCTCACGATCACTGCAAGGAATCATTTGCTTGAAGTCGGAACTGTAATCAAGTTAATTTGTTCCCTTAGGTTATTAGAGATGCAAATAAACCAACTCAATGTCATTTTTATAGTGTGCAGATAAATTATTGCATACCCGTCATTGTTTGCACATCATGAGAGTGAAGTTGAACACCTAACAAATAGGTTGTTGAAGAACACACACACACTACACATAATACCGGCAGTCTTTGCCTCATTGTCTGATTTCAGTCATATTCTGACACATACAGCAGCCTAGCCTGTTAACTCATTCTGAAGCCAATCTTGAACCTTCCTCCATTACATCTTAAAAGTGTTCCTCTTGATTTTGTCACCACCCTTCCCCAGGTCGCTCTTTAACTGCCAAGCTCCTCATTTCTGACAAGGATAATCTTCTCCTCAGGGATTATGAAGCTCTCCTATAGTCATCACTTTTTTCCAGCTTAGCTCATATTAGCCAGCACCCTGTGGCTTAGCAGGTCCAGCTTTGCTGAATCACATTGGTTTCATCCCAGTACAAAACCAGCTTCACAGAATACAAGTATTCAATTAAAATGTTATCTGGTTTGATAGAACCTTTAATTTTTTTTCGCTTGTATGCGTTTCATTTTATTTTTTTTTCACTCGCCTCTTAATGAGGAAATTATTTATTCCACGCATTGCTGGTTATGAAAATGATTGTATTGTTTTGTGAAAGAGAGAGTGCTGGTTTTCAAAAGGTTTTTTTTTAGTAACTGTGAATCAGTTTTGCTGATTTACATCAAGGCAGCTGCCATTCGTAGCTTTTACCTAATCTTTTTTCCCCCTCTCTCTCTTTCTCATCTACTAGGTCTGTGGGCTCTAATTGGCCTTATTCATGCATTCCTCATTCATAAAGCATCTGTGTGAAATGGACAGAGTTGGCCAATAAACTTTAAAATATTGTTTATAGCCATAAGTATAGCATAGCCACACAGTTTCCTTGTTTTCTGGTGGTTTGCCTAACATTTTAGACAACTTATTATTTAGCTTTTTCCAGCTTTGCTCATATTATCCAGCACCCTGTGGCTTAGCAGGTCCAGCTTTGTATCGGAGTTCAAAAGGAACATCTGAGATTTGCTTGACGGTTCAGCAGTAAGTCCGTTAAACCAGCAAACTGATCATTGCAAGCTCCAGCCCTATGGTTCAAAGCCCAGTCAGTAATACGCACCCAACTGTTGCCAGCAGTGTTCCCATACTACCTTTCTTTAAGAAAATAAACGTCAGGCTGGGCTTCGTAATGGGACCCATTACCACTTTGTTAAAAAAGATTCATATATGAGAATATGAAAGCCTAACATTTGCTCCCACTGGTGAGAAATGCTGTGTGTTTTTCACGTGCACCTAGGTTACCTGTGTTTGCTCTTGGAAAAAGTGACCTGGATGATTCTGGCAAACATAAATTGTCCAGCTCAACATATTTTACCTCACAAAATTGCACACCTTAATTTCCCCCCCTGAGCTTTAATATCGACCTCTCCCAAGTTCTGCTGTGTTTATCACTACAAACCTAGAAGTTTTAGCCTGCTGGTTGGAACTCAGAGAAAAGCCATGCTTAAGCATTCTCTGCACATTTTGCTGTTTGGGTCTTTTGTGGTGAGTATGCAAAGTACCTGAACTTTTATTTGCTTGTCTCTCTCTCCATTTCTCCAATGCCCGGGGGCTGGTTTGCTGTATTAGGAACAGGAACGTTATCTCTGCAGTGTTGAGAAGGAGCTGATTGCCGCGCTTATTGGTGGCATGGAGCACGTTTGCTGAGTGTAATAGGCGTCATGGTAACCTGATCAGCACAATAATTGTCTTGGCAACCTGAGGAAATTAAGGGGACAGCATTGAAATGCTTTTGTTGGCCCAATGCTTCCATCTTTGACTTGTGGTGCTACCATTTGATCAAATGGCCTTATTATTAGCTTTGTCTGTAAAAAGTTTAGCAACAAAAGCATTCTGCGCTCTAGATTTCTTTGTTCTTTTGACATTCTGCCATGCACAGTTGCTACATCAGGCAGCTAAGCACTAAGGATATTTTCTGCTGTAGTTCAGATTTTAAAGTGCCATGCCAACCTTCTCCCATTTCCAACCCCCCCCCCCCAATTTATTTTTTTGTTTTCTTAAAAAAGAAAAATACTTTTTTCATTAAATGTTATTACATTCTTCATTTTTGTTAAATGTTAAGGTTTTTTCTCCAGAAAAAAATAAATAGGTGAAATATGATTTAATTTTTAAACCAGTCTTATTGATGCTTCCAAGGTGAAGTCATTATTGCTATTTCACCACAGCCTCAACTATGCCATCCAGTTAACATTACCTTGTATCGTGACATTTAATTTAAGAACATTTTGAGGAAAAAAAGAGAAACAAACAAACTATATTTAGTTTATCAATACATCAGAAGATTTGAGATTTCTAATTTTAAATAAATTGTTCTTTTTAATTTGCTATTCATCAAAGAGTCCTGGGAAAAAAAACTGAAATATTAAGAGGCACAAATATTTTCAATATTTGAACATTTGTATATGTATATTTATGCATGTACTGCACAGATTCAGTATTTATGATTGTGAATAGGTTATATTGTAACAACTTTACAAGAAGAACTGAGCCCTCAGTAATATGAAATACTCAACATTCATTTAATTAATTCAGATAGATTTTTCTTTATCTTTTTTCTCAGGTTGTTATGGTGTCGATGGTGAAAGTGACTCTATCATGAGCTCAGCCTCGGAGAACTCGACAGAACCGTGGTTCTGTGATGCATGCAAGAATGGCGTCACACCCAGCTGCGAACTCTGTCCCAGTCAGGACGGCATCTTCAAAGAAACTGATGCGGGGAGGTGAGTTTTAACCGATGCTTGGTCTGATATTACGTTTTATCATCATTAGCACACTCATTAAAGGCACAGCCATCCCCGTCACACCTTTTCATGTTTGAGTTACTCCTTTAATTGTTGTATATCCGTTGAAGGTTTTATGCCACCCTCTGAGCTAAGATGCTGGAAAAATGCTAAATAAGTGAAAAACTTGAAGAGGCACAGGTATGTGCAGGATGAGTGAAGGAGAGAAAAAGTGGTGGATTTGGCTAGGAGGGAGGGATGGGGCTGAGAGAGAGGGAGAGGAAGAGACAGTCGTCTGAAGCGTGAAGACTCAAGCCACGTTATCACTGATAGTGCTCCTCAGCCCGCCTGCACCCAAATTTGCTACTTCACTAGAGCATGAAAAACACAGCAAATTAAAGTGTGGAGCGTGCGCTCACCAAAGATGGATATCTTTATATTGGACTTCGGATTCTCCTTCCTAAAGTCTGCATTTGAAATTCTGTCACACCAAATGGTCAAGTTAGAGTACATTTGAACCTGTAACTGAGTATTTCCTCTTCTGAATGGCTTAAGGGTTATAGCAGTTATTCAAGGAAGAGTGAATAGTAGTCCATTAACTAGATGCTGCTTTGTTCTGCTAACGGTGGACCTCTGAATGAATGTAATTACAATCATATGATTCATTCAGCACATAATGTGAATAAGGAACTGTCCGTATACTATGATAACTATTATGTAAAAATAGATATTATGGATGAATGCTCAACTTTGCTTTGTTCGGCTGAAGGTGGGTGCACGTGGTGTGTGCCCTTTACGTTCCAGGGGTCGCATTTGGAGATATTGACAAGCTGCGGCCTGTAACACTCACAGAGATGAACTACTCAAAGTATGGAGCAAAGGCAAGTATCAAAAGTTACTAATGACATACAGCTAAAAAATAAATAAAAAAATAACATTACCTCAATAACAGGTTATTAATAGTGGTAAGCCGATGTGATAATCGGTATTCGAACACTATAATCAGCCAATACCATAGACCTTCAACCCTGCTCCTGGGGGACCCACTTTCCTGCAGAGTTCAGCTCCAACCCTAATCAAACACACCTGAACCAGCTAATCAAGGTCTTCAGGATCGCTTGAAAAGTCAGAGGCCAGGTGTGCTGAAGCAGGTTGGAAATAAACTTTGCTGGACAGTGGGTCCCCAGGAGCAGGGTTGAAGACCTATACTGATCCAGTTACCAACGTTTATGTAATTTTTTTCTTCTGCAGCAAAATACAGAAGAATACTGTGAAATTCTAAATGAAACATACATAACACTTACTCTCACCATGACTGCATTTATTTAAATAGAAATACAGTAAAAACAGAACTTTAAGTTGTAGTAATATTTTGAAATTTTGCAACTTACAATTATATTTTAATGGTAACGTGATATTTTAATGGTAATGTGATATGATGGTAAGCAGTCTTCAGTGTCACTGTCACATGATCTTTCAGAAATCATTCTAATATGCTTATTTGGTGCTCAAGAAACATTCTAAAACATTTTCTCAAGAATCATTTAACAAACATTGTTAAAAACAGTTGCATTGCTTAATATATCTGTGGAAACCCAATAGTTGTTTTTTGAAATTTTTTTTAATGAAAGTTCAAAAGAACAGCATTTATTTGAAATGTAAATGTTTTGTAACATTATAAATGGGTTCACTTGACACTTTTGATCAATTTAATCCATCCTTGCTGAATAAAAGTATTAATTTATTAAAAAACAAAAAACTTCACTGGTAGTGTATATGTATGGTAGTGTATATGTTTCACTGGTATAATATATGTACAAATGTATATTAATAAAACAGAAATTAACGGTTTTTAGTTTGTCAGATTATCACAGATGTACGAATATCAACTGAAAACAGTCAATAAAATCACTGATTAATTGGTGCATCCTAGATATTATTCAAACAAATTTAAATTGCTGGAAAACCCATTTTCTTTTTTTCGTTTTCCTTTTTTTTTTTTTTGACACTTTATTTAAAAAACAAAAGAAATTTCTGATAAAAGATGTGAAGTACTGACTTCCTTCTTTGAGCAAAGGGCATCTTTCACTTCCCTCCCAAGAATTTCTGTCGACTGTAGACATCTTGACATTTACTCTATCTGACATAATTTTATGTGTCAGTAAGTCAGAAGAGGTTCCTTTTACTGGGAAGCAAATTACTTTAGAAGCACTTGAAAGTCTTTCTTTAATGGTTTGTGCTGTACATGTGAAAATAAATTACTCCTAGAGAAAGGCTATTATTATTTTAATTTTGAACTCCAGTAATTGGAGAAAGTCAAATGGGCTTTTAGAGACTCGTTGTCCACCTTATCTTAAATATAGAACTATACAGTAAATGAATGTGGGATTATTATAATGGTGTTTAAAGATCTTTTTTCCATATCCAAGCTGTGTTACACAATCAGCTTTCAGTTTACCTTTCTTTCTTGACTGCAAAAATAGAAATAATCCCAAGTCATTAGTAGGAAAATAATAATATTTGAAGTCAGCAAATGCTAGAAAGTTTTCCCTGTCATGTTTTTCTTAGTACGTTATAGTTTTCTGTCATTTTCTGTTGTCACAATAGCCTGTTAATGGTTTACAGGAGTGCAGTTTGTGTGAGGATGCACGCTTTGCTCGCACAGGCGTTTGCATCAGCTGCGATGCCGGAATGTGCCGCTCATTCTTCCACGTTACGTGTGCTCAACGAGAAGGGCTGCTGTCTGAAGCTGCTGCGGAAGAGGTTAGTGTGTGGTCATCCTCTTTGATCTGCATTATTTGATGTTTTTCTCCAACTTCCCCACAGTTGCATTGTTGTGATGCCAGCTTTGTAACGTTTAGTGGCATGCTTTTAACATTCCAGCTCTCATCCACCGCTTTCAAGGATTTTTTCCTCAATAATAAAAAAAAA